TCCTTGGTTTTCTTTCTGGCTTGCCAATTGTATTTCAACCTGCACACTTTTTTCTGAACATCCTTCTAGGGCTTCGGGCATTACAGAGGTCAGGATTTGGGCACGTTGTTTTCTTCCTTCTGTAAAGATCCCTGGCAAAATTACGCATCAGCTTCCTCAGCTGATCTGTTTCCCTTGTGCGTTCAGAGCGGCTCGTGCTGCCTTATGCTGTGCCATGTGGGAGCCGAAGGACCTCCAGGCTGCACGGGACCCAGGGACCGTCTCCACCCAGGACAGCTCTTGAGCTGGGCACGGCAGCGAATCATTATTCCACTGATTGTGGCTCACTGAGATCTTATAAAGCGTACGATGGCAGCTCTATAGGTTGTTACATATAGGTACATGTGCATTTAACTACAAATATGTTATGTTTAGTACTTTAAGTGAATGTAATGCTTTCATTTGAGTGAACCCCCCCCCACAGATATCCTTTGGGGTTACTACCATAATACTTTGGCCTAATTTAGCCAATACAGAGTTCAGAAAGAGTTTAGTGTCCCTGTCTTTGGATGCACACAAGGCTCTCTTGTTTTCTAGTGTCAATACTTTCAGCTGCTATAGTAATTGTACTAATGAGGCTTAGTCTTTAAGAAAACTGCTGGATTTGCTCCAGAAGAGCACTCGAGTTAGAGTGAATCAGAAGGTTTCACTGTTAATCTAATCTTGAGTGCAGCTGCACTGTGACAGAAAGCATAAAATGCTGATGCCGTGCAGTAAACTGCGCCCGGTCACCCAACAAAGTTCATGGGGTGAAGTTTCTGTTAGGCAGTGGTCTCTGCCGTGTGTCCCACTAAGCAGAGAAGGGAAATAATCGACTTCCAATATGTTGGTCAAACTGTATAACAGAGGATGTTTGGGATGGGCAGAGCATTATTTTAGGCATTACTTTGTAAACAGGCGGGAAGGAAGAAGGAGGCAGCAGCTCTGCCTTTAACCCAAGAAAACTCAGCAAAGATATGGGAGTTCCTGAGATTCTGCTGGGTCCTTTTTTTTATTTCAGTGAGAACTGACGCGTGTCCCGTGACTGTCCTTTCCTTTCGTTCGTGCTTGCAGCCCACAAAGAGAGATAATTCGCAGTGGGAAACTAGAAGTAGGGTAGCTGAGGAAAACAGTGCCTGAGTAGTGTTGGACTGCTGATACATGTCCTCTTCAAACTGTAGCTTTGCTGCCTCCCGGTCATCCATCACTGCCCTGCTGCTGCACTTCTAACACAGGGACTGCTTGGGATCACCCTCAAACCCCACTCAGGGCTTGTAGGAGGGATCTGTTTAACCATTACAGCTGCAGCCAGAAGTGTGTTTTCACGCCTTGAGATAAAGTACTGCCAAGTTTCTCAGCTAGAACTGGGAGAGTTGTTCCTGGCATGCTTTGAAATTAACAGGAAAACCAAAGAAATCTTGATTCAGAAAGTACTTAAATGTAAATCTCAGTGGAACATTTAAGTCCATGACTAATTTTAGAGCATGTTTCCCTTTTCTGATTTCAATAATGAAAGAAGCAGTTTGATTTTCCTGAATCGCAGGAGTTTGAGCTTAACTTTCATCATCAGTTCTGAGAAATGACAGAGGAAAGAGAGACATGAATGAGTTGTTCATCAGTACCAGAATTTCCAGTTTCTAAGTATCTGTTTTTCCATGTCGGAAAACTATAAAAGCTTGGTTTCTGTGGGAGCAAACCCATGGCCCTCAATAAAGAAAACCTGTTTGCATGCAAAGGAAAACATTGCGCGAAGGTTAGCGTTTCCCAGTTTCTGAAAGATTGTACCGAGACAAAAGGATCACGTGGAACTCACAGCCACAGCTCTTAGCAGATTTGAACAACAGTTTTCCAGCATGCTGCCTATATTTTTGTAATTTGATTATTTTGTAATTTGATTTTTGTAATTTGATAATCAAATTCTTGGCTTATATATAAACATGACTGGAGGAGACGATGAATGGCGTATGAAGTGCATCCAGTTTGGCTTTTGGTTGTATGCTATTGGAAACTTTTCCTAGACTCTTGTCCAACAGTTTAAACTTAGTTTAGAGCTGGGAAATGCAAAATGTACTTCTTATTTATTACAGTAAGATCTTGGTGACTGTAGACAGTGCTCTGCAAGCAAACACCAGCAGAAAGAGGCATCCTCTTGAGTATGTTGCAATGTAATTTGGACAGTGCAAAGGCAAAGGAGGATGTTGAGGACACTCGCATGAGAATGCTTCACGAGTTTGGGGTGTGTGTAGGGTTCTTTAACTTATACTTTTAAAAGATGAAGAGTGGTAAATTGAGGGTCAATCTCTTAGCTGTTCTTTACTGAGTAGAAATGTCTGGCTTTCTTTCCAATGATGCTCTGCTCTTCCCCTCAGTCAGTGGAAAGCAGCACTGAAGAAAAGGAGGCATGGAGAAAATGCTTGAAATGCCATTCATGCCACAAAGCTACTCTTTTGCTGCAGACAAGGCAGCAACCTTGTTTTCTTTACACTGACCCTGGACTGTCATGAATCCTGCTTCAGCAGAGAGATCTCCATCTTCTCAGAAGATGCCTCCTTGAGGTGCATCTCCAACTTTATTCTGCTGAATGAAAAGCATGTGTACAGCACGTGTGGATGCTGGTGCTCTTTGGGGTTGGTTCTCCACCTCCAGGATCCTGAGGCTGGTTATGAGGGCTGGCTTTCAACTGGCAACCAGCTTGCTTTCCCTCAAACATGACTGATACCAGCCACCTTCTGAACTCAGCTTCAGTGTCAGAGAAACAGGCTCTACAGATGGTAGCTCATTGCATCAAGAACATGTTGGAGCTTGAGGTAAGCTCCACATTGGCTTAGTGCACTGCTTCCAAAACAAGCAAAGGTGCACGCTGTCCCCAGCGAGGCTGAAGGAGAAGCTCCTAGTGCCTCCAGAGCCTTCCCTGGTCCCTCTGGTCCAGGGATGATGATGAGATTAGACTAACTGCCCCATGTACTCTCCCCACCAACTCAGCCCTTCAACACCTCTGCAATAACCTACAAGCAAGGGGAATTTCTTCCCAACTCCTTCTCTTGGTATTTATGCACTGCTCTTAAAATCTGAGGATTTCTATCGCTTGATGATTTCTTACCCTCCATAAGGCAGCTGTGGTACTCACATCAACCTTATCAGTGCCTGTACTTCAGATATTAAATAATTTTCTAGATTACACATTGAAAGAAGGAGGCTCAGACTTCATTTATGTACCTAAAAGACAAATGGGTTTGTCTGTGGGAGGCATCTGTTAGTTGGAATAGATCATAACCATGTCTTGGCCTTCCCAGACATGGTCTGGGAGATGACATTCTCTCTTACCTTTCTTGCCTCTTCCAGGTCTCCTCCTTGGCAGCACAAGGGTAATTTTCCAGATACAGACGTTTGAAGTGCTGAGTTGAAAGCCAAATTTGATGGAAATTTGAAGACTGCAGTTGAATTCTCCATGGCATTTGATGAATGCAAATGGGCAAAATCCATTCGAGCCTTGAGTCTGTTGGTACTGAGTGGTCAGGGTTTCCAACCATTCTATGAATTTCCAGGGAAGAACTTTCCCAAAAAACCCCACCAGAATGATGATTCTTTAAGTGCTATAGAATTATTTTTCAAAAATGAAACATGAAAGTCATGTTGGGATTGAGAAATTTTACACGATCAGCAATATTTTGCAATGGGGTGAAATGGAAGAGTCACATTAGAGCTGTGGAGGCTTGTTACACATGCCAAGTGTATTCGCCAAGTCAGGCAGAGATGTGGAGACAAAGGAATTATTCCCCAGGGACCATGGTTTTCTCTTGGACAAAACCATATATTTTTCTTGGCCTAGTCTCACTTCCTCAAGATAATCTTACGGGAAGATGCAACTACAAAATGACAGTCTCATCTATCAGATCCATTTCTTGAGACATGATACATGAAATAGTTTTAATTAGCTATGAGATAAAGTTTAGTGAGTACAAGTTCAAAGTCTATACTGAAATACAGGTGTAAATATGCGCAGGTGAAATAAATAGCTTCTCCCAAAACTAACTGGCAAAGGATCACAGATAACATCTTCTAGAGTGATAGCAGGCAGATGTGAGGCCATAACCAACTTTTTAAGTGCAAGGAGAACCGTATCATTAAGAGGCTCTGGAAGAGCCTGCTGCGCCCGGTTGCACTGTGTAGCAATTCATGCTGCTGATCTCTGCTCTGCTAGGAATCAGGTCTGGTCTTATTTAGCAGCTATTCACTTCCTGGGTGCTGTGGTTGTTGACCAACACAGGCTGGACCCCAGAGCTGTTCGCTCTAATGTTTGGCAGAGGCGCAGAGGCGTGCTGTTTTATTCAAGGTATTCTGCAGTTCTCTCCTACCGAGGATGTATGGTGTGGACACTGGCAAGATGTAGTGATGAAAAAAGTAAATAAACAAGATTATAATAAATTTCAAGGTAAAGTCAGAGTAAATACGAAGATTACAGCTTTGTATTTTGTATTTAGCTTTTACTTGTTTGAGTAGTCTTGTGGAAAGAAAATACCCCAAATTCACAATGTAGGACTGATGTAATTTTCCCAGTTCTTCACCAGGTAGGCTGTCTTTGTCTGGCCATTTGCTCTACTTAGCAAGAATGTGAAGAGAGGGAGGCTGTGTGAAGCCAGTAAGTGGTGTAGAGATTTCACTTTGAAGTGCTCCAGCAGTGAATGTGTTAAATGTTTTCATCAGGGACTTTAAAAAAAAAAAAAAAAGGCGGCATATACTGGATATGCCAGAAAAAGTTTACTTTATAAAAGAAAGTAAAAAGCCTCTCACACATAAGAGAGCAGGAAAGGAGGAGTAATCTTTAAAAGAATGTAATTCTCATTCACAGGGAGCAGAGCCCACTTGACTGAGACCTCCCTCCCCAAACTGCCGGGATCCTCTACTTCTACGCCGAGCAGAGCAGGCGTCTTCGCAAACGGAGTAAAACCCTCCCGGCTGCCTCCAGCGTCGCAGGAATAGACATGTCTACGGGGAAGGTCTGTTGTCTGGTGCTGCTGACCCTGGGGGTGCTGGCGGTGGCTGTGGCACTCGTGGTCATCCTGACTCAACCCAAGTGTGGTCCTCAGCGCTACCTGCACGGTGCTGTGGCTGCTGACACCGAGACCTGCTCTGTCATCGGACGGTACGTGCGCCGACCTCTCGGTTTTTCATGTTACACGTCTCATATGTCATGGACTTGGACCGACAGACAGGTACACATACCCACTACGGGTTTCTGCCCTGTCCCTGCTTCCTTGGCTGAGCAGCAATGCTGCTCCCTGGGAACAGCATCCATCGGCAGTCGAGCAGCTCCGATGGAGCCCTGCTTCTGCTTATTTTCATTATCCAATGTCACAAAAATTTGCAGCTCTGCAAATCCTTAGCCTTTTGGAAGGTACAAATATTTATAGTGTAAAATACAATGTTGTTTTTAAGTGGGGAAGCAGGAAATTAACTGCTTACTTAATGGTGGGGAGTCTGTCAGAAATAAATTGGCTTAGAAATAAATTAAGGAAGAAGTGAGAGGAGCTAGCAGCGAGCTGCATCTGGGCTTCGGCAGAGGCAAGGAAGGCGGGCAGGCTGAGAGGATAAGGGGGACAGGGCGTCCCAGCCTTCAGAGTGTGTGTTTTTGGACTGAAGCCTGCAGCAGGTGTGTCTGCTATCAAAAAAGACACTGTATTGTCAAGAGCAGATTTAATTGAAATTCAGTCAAGACAGTATAAGTACAAAAGGCATACTTACATCACTTGGAAGGAAAGATGTAGGTTTAAAAATTCTCTACTTGCCCAGGTTGTGACACTTTGTTTAAGTTAACTTTGTTAAGTTTGAGTGGCAACTTCTCTCCCAAATACTGACTCCTGTGTTATTATTTTACTATTCCTGTTACTTCAATCCTTAAATGCTTATATACATGAAAGTAAAAGGATGGACCTTCACAAGCTACATGTGGTGCTGGATGCTCCAGCAATGGATGCTGGAGCTGTGTGCTCTACCTTGTGGCTGAAGGAGGTAGACGTGGTGCCATCACACCGTTCTTGTCATCTTGCACATCTGGTTCTTGCAATGATGTGCATTTGTGAGTAGCTGGAAAAAATGTACTGTGGCTGCACATATGTCAAGGAATGAGATGGGTATTTTTATGCTAAACCACAGGTTAGTTCTTCAAAGAGTAGAAGTATCTTTTAAATCAGTATTAATGGAAACAGAGGAAAATACATTATTGAATTACCCAAAAATCTACCGGGAAAACCACAGCACTTGTTTCACAGGTATTGTCATTTTTAAGTTGAAGTAATGTAGAATCAGCTGGAAGGCATTGAAGTGAGAGCCACAGAAACCTGGGATCAGGTTGACAGCTGAGCAGCTTTGGCTACCTGGCTGCTGCTGCTGGGCTGTCATCTATTTCCTCCCCTTCTCTTGGCAAGAAGCTCCACCTGCTTCCATAGCCGCAACCACTGCTGTAGCTGTGCCTCCAACCCGCTTGCTGACAAGGTCTGTGGTGCCCTTCCAGTCTGACAGTTCGCCTTACATTTCCTATAAATAGTTTGCCAAAGAACACCACAAAATTCAGCCCTTGCTTCAACTTCCCATTATACTTTTTCCCCCTTTTCCCCAACTTGGAGCGTCTGCACATCATGCCCTGCTGCTCCAAATGTACCAGCTGTCTCTTCCAGCCCTGCCAAGCCCCCTTGGATCTCCCCAGTCAAGACTGTTCTCCTTTACCTTGGCTCTACACCACTCACCCTCTGCCCGGTGGTTAGCTCTGCTCCACTGTGCTGCATGCTGTCTGCTGCCTTTCCCAGCATCCTTCATGCCCAGCCATCCTTGGAAGTCTTCTGTGCTCATTTTGTGCTGTTTACTTGGAATGAACCAAACTTCTCTGTTGTTCTCCAAGCTTGAGCTATCTGCTATGTTCTTGCAATAGATCATAGTAAAACTCTTTATAAACATTCATCTGCAACAGAGCTTGTGATCAGAAGCTTTGTGTAACATTTGCCCTTTCCTTTGTATTGTCCTATTTCTTCGTCCCCACTGGCCCACAGTGGTTTGTAAGGAAGAAACAGTTTTTTCTTTGGGGGAAGCTTTCTGCATGCTCTGTAGGGCATGTAATCTTGTTTATTTTCTCCCAGACACTTTTGTGCTGTTATATCTGTATGGCACATTTTAGCTCTTAGCACGATAGTCACCACTAAATGAATTCTCACAGCAGTCTGGGAAGTGAGAAAATGATGTTATCTCACCAGTATGAATAAGGAAGTCTAGCATGGCAATTGTACTGCGTGGGGTACACCTCAGGCTGTCATCTGCGTGGCTGTGCAGGGTGAGGGCTTCTTCGAGCCTGACCCGGGGACCTTGACGGGAGCACCAGGAGCTGAGGAGCACGCAGCAGCCTCCTAATCTTTGCTGAACAAGGTTTTAGCATCACATAGGAATTTTGTCACAGCAGTAGCAATAAAATCCAATTTCTCAGAGAAGTCTTAGCCATGAGGCCCTGATGTCCCCAGCTGTGAGCTGCCACTTCATTCACCTCGACTTCAGCAGCAAAACGAGAGTTGGGCAAAGCCAAGCACCCCTTGATGCACAACCCAAACTCCTTCCCAGACACTGCCCAGCCCATCAACTGGTTTTGAGATTAGAGTAATGCCGTTGACTTCTGCTGTTCAAAAATAATTCAATTCCCAAAATCATGAGATTTAGTAAGATGAAGAAAACCCCAAGATTAATTCTTTTTTCTTGTCCTGCTCTCCTAAATACGGTATTTAGATCTTCAGTCTTTTTCTGCAGGTATGCAAACATTTCCATATTTTCCATGTCCTTGTTTTTTCTCAGCCCCAAAGCCATGGCTGTTACCAGGTACAGGTTTTTTTGAGGAAGGTGTGCTTAGCCTCTGCAGCCCAGGGTTGGAACAGGCCCGTTTCATCTATTATTGCTTAGAAATCACAAGAGAATTAATCTACCAAAAGCTGGTTAATCCATTGATAACCACACGCACATGCATTTTTGTATATATACAAGTAAGTTTTTTAAAAAATCAATGTGATAAAAATTTTTAATGATCAGTTTTGGGGTTTTTTCCCCCCAAAGCAAACAACTTCACCAAATTCAAGTAAATTGTTTAAACTGGAGGCAGACTATGTCTCTGGCTTTGTACTTGCACACTGCAGAGCCTCCTAACAAATTTTCTAGGGGCGTTTAAAATAAGTAAAATAAGGTAAACCAACAAATTTCCTCAGTTTAATTTTTTTGGTAATTGCTGAATGCTTTTAGTGGAAACACACATAAAGGAAAGGAGCAACCTCCAGCACCATGGGAAAATAATTAGGCTTGGGTACAGCAAAGCTACAGTCAAATGAAAACCACATGTTGTAATTGAACCTGTCAGCCTGCCTGGCTCACTGGTGAGCACGGGAGTATTGCACCCGTCCCTAGAGGCACACTGCAGGGAGATTGAACCGTGCCGTTTGCCCCTGCCCTCCCCGACTGACCTCTGCTGGGACGCTGGACTGCCCCCCCACAGCCACCCCTTTCATCCTGCACATCCCCCCTCCGAGCTCATGGGAACCCATGCGGGGGATGCTCAGAGAACCTCTGGTGCAGGGTGGGCTTGAAATCAATCGTACTGCTCCGGCACCTAGAATCTTGGAAGCTAAAAGCAGGACCTAATCTCTGACCTACCTAGAAATTTTAGTTTTTAATTTAAAAATTTTGCTTCCTTAAAAAAAAACAAAAAAAGAAGAAAAAGAAAGAAACCCAAACCACATGCCCTGTGAGTTGTCATTAGCAGTAATGAGATTCCTGGGGCATTACATGGCACTGTGCTGGTTTACTGAGAGAGTCCTAGTCTGCTCCTAGTAGAACTTTTAATTGAACTTACAGAGAATAACTGAACCACACCTTTCCCAAAGAGCAATCTCATCTTTTAATAAGTGGGTTGGTGGGTTGGGGAAAACACCTCAGGGCCCTTGTGTTTCCCTCACTGACAGTTGAGCTGTGAAGGAAGGGTCACTGAAGGAACAGTGTAGCTCTGTAATTCCTTAGTACGAGCAGGAGATGGGGCACAGACTCACAGCCCTTCTTGTATTTCTGTTGTGCTCAGCTGTCATCTTCAGGCTTGGGCTTTCCAGCTCTGGAGAAGATGTTTGTACATTCTGGGGCTGTGTAAGGTTGGACTTTCTGAAACTTTATGCAACTCTTTGGCTCCCTGCAGAACCTCCAGCGTGTCATCATCCTTGCTGGCAGGTCCTGTGCTAGACTTGCTCTTAGCCAAGTGCCCAGTTTTCAGTGGCAAATGAGTTCGGGTCTTTGGCTGAGAATGGTTTTATTGCTGGAGACTAGGGACTGAAAACAATACTGTGTAGCTGTCTGGTCCAGGGGCTCTGTGCTGGAAGAAAACTTGTCCCTAAATGAAGTGAGACACTGATGAAGAAGGATGGGAGGCTACAAGAAGAGTCAGAGCAGTTTTTAATGCAAGTGTGTAGATTTGGTACCAGGAAATTTGATTGTTGGGAATCCATGAGAAGACAGGAGGTGATTGCCCTAGCAGCAAGAGGTACCCAAACCCACCGTCGCCTTCATCTCTGAGTCATTTGTTCCCTCCTGGCAATGGAAGAGGCTTTTTCCATCAGCCATGCACAAAGTTTTATGTTCCTTCCAATGTGATGTTTGAGTTCTGCCATTCACTGCTCTGCATCCGTTTGTTTCCCAAATGACAGAAGCAAGAGCCAGCGTAAGGCCAGAGAGAGATTTAGTGCTTGTTCCCAGTGATGGGATTTGCTGCAGCAAGGCGAGCTGACCTGACCTGGCCTAGCAGCCACCTCTGATCCTACTTCTCCAGTGCAGCATAAACCCTGGGAACGGGCTTTTTCTGAAACAAACACCCCACTGGGGGACACGGTGGTGGAGAGGGTGAGAATTTAACAGTCAGAAAATGTCTGTGGTCCTGGGAAGCTCAGTTCTCGGCAGAGAATATGCTGCAAAAATCCTTTTCAGTGACGGCCCAGCAGCATTTCTGAGGAATGTTGATATCCCAAAGGATTTGCCTTCCCTTCTTCTTGTATTTTAGCAGTTTTGAATTTGGCAACTGGCCCTTTTTACAGAAACAGCTGTTGCTTTTGCTCTTCATAAATCTTTATCAGGCAGCTCCTCTATAATTGGTGGTCTCCTCCCAGCCCCCAGCTTTCTTTAACAGAAAAAAAAAAATCCATATGATTTAATACCTTAGCATTTCCAGTGTATTTAAGATGGCTTCAGGGCTCCTTCTAGCCCAGGGCAGAACAGCAGATTTGGTCTGCAGCCCAGCACAGCCCATCTTTGCTGTGAGGATTGTGCGAGCAAAGTGCCTTCCTAGGAGGGTGAATCCCTCTTTTGCTGCTGCTGGAGTGAGACTTGGTTGCTAACACCCTCTCCTGCTCCTGACTTTTGTGAAGCTCCATTAATGGCCAAATCCTAAATATGGAACTAAGTGACAGGAAGGATATGGGACAAAACATGCTGTTATCAGCTCTTGTCAGCTGTAGCACTGGAATGTCTCTGGAGAGACCTGGTAAGGTACCACACCTCGATGGAAGGGATGTGTGCTTCTCAGGGGTGTTGCATTATAATTAAGGTAGTAGTAGCAGTGATCCATATAAAGGGAGCGACTTAATGGGACATGGTGTACTCTGTCTGCCTAGCTAGACAGGAAAATCATGATGGCCCTAAATTCCCCAGGCATCACTTCCAAGTAAGTGGCAGCACTCCGTCTGAAAGCTGGTGAGCCAGGCATGGGGAGCTGGGTCTGATACACGAGGAGCTAGCTCAGAGGGTGGTTTTTTGTTGTGTTTCAGACTCAGAAAGGCTGCAGGGAAGGCCTTTGAGACCGAGATCCAGGCTGCAGAGAGCAGAGTGGACCCTGTGCTGATGAGGGGGGACACTTATCAGGCCTCCTGGGTAAAAGAGCAAAGTGGCTTGAAAGAAATCTTGTTAACAGCCCCGATCGGGATTTGGTTTTACCCTTGCTGGGTTCAGTTTCTGAGCTTGAGCTAAAAGCCTGACTGTAAGGCTTGCTTTTCCTTAGCTATCACCGTGCCTGTCCTGTGTCATGGGACACCCCTTGTGCTGGGGGAAAAACTAGGCAGGCACATGTACCCCCATAGAGCCAGGGAAACAACACGGGTGTGGTGTGCGAGCCCTCCAAGATGTGTTTGAAAGACTCAGGGAGGGGAGTGCTTCCTGCCAGGCTGGGAAAAGCCAACATAATGCTTAGTTTTGGGGAGAAATCTCGGCTCCCTTTCCCCCTAACCCCTGTCCCCCAAAGATGCAGCAGACAAAGGACGATGCTCAGCATCACGCAGCCCATCCCATACTGAGATGGTGTCAGATGCTGCACCCTGTGCTAGTGGGTGGGAGCCTGATCCCTCCACCCTTTCATGCTCACTGAAAGGCAGCCAGCAACTGGAAAACCCTCCTTCCCTCAAGCAAGAAACATGTTTGCCTATGTGTTGTTAGATGTGGCATTTGCCGCCAGAGGTGACGGTGACAGTTGCCACCAATACAGACTCAGTAGGCAAGCATGGAAAGCACTTTTGGATCATCTGGAAACTCTATTTTTCTTGTCATTCTTGTTTATGTTGCAAAGTGTGATTGATGTGGGCTAGTGACCAAAGACAATGCAAAACATGCTTTGCTTTTCAGTGAAAAGGTGTACCTGTGTGGGCTGCTAGTGTTATTTTTGCTCTATGCTGTGTTAACACCAAGGCGTCACAGCCAAGAATCGGGGCGTCACTGTGCTGGGCACAGAGCAGGAACAATAGACTGTCTCTGGCTTTCCTGCAGTGTTGGTGTCTCGGGCATGACCCACCCAAAAACTACTGGGTGGCCTGGCAGGCTGGAGTGACCAAGTGTCCGTAAGTGAGCACTTGGCTTGCCTCGGCCGTGCCAGGCAGGATGTGTCCATCCTGCCTGCGCTGCTGCCGTACTCTCCACTGACCAGTGAATGTCTTCTCCCGCTTGTTCCTTGATGCTCTCAGGAAATCTGTTTCCCTTTTTACCAGTGTCATAACAGTCGAGGTCTCAGCTCCCTGGAGAAGGTTGCTGCTCTCTTTAGCAGTCAGCTATACCTTTTCTGCCGAGACTGGGACCTCACTTGTCCTCCCTGATCTCAGCAGGAGCCAAGGGCACAGATACAAACTGGAGTTACTGTCTGTAGGACTAACTGGGAGTGTTGGAGGGAGGGAGCATGGATAAGGTCATGCTAAGTAACACCCAAGTTTGTGTGCTTTGGGCATATGGCACTACATTTGTGGTAGTCCTGGCCAGTGTAGTGGTCCTTCTCCCGGCCTTCCCCAACTTCCTTACTTGCTTCCTGGCCTTCTGCAGGCGTAACTCACTTTCTCATGAAGCCCTTGTGTGGTTAGGAATTAAAAAGCTTCAGTTTCAGAAAAACACCACCCAGGAATGTCCGTGTGGTGAGAGTCTTACCCCTTCTGCAAGAAGATGAATGGGAGAGCCTGAGCCTCAGCCCCCACTGTCAGAGCTACTGCCAGGGTGCAGCTTGCTGCTGGGAGGCTAAAAGCCACGCAGGCCCCAAAGAGAAAGCCCCCTGGTTCCCTACCATTGCTTTTCTCCCCACTTGTCCACATGCCATTTCCTTATAAGCAGTGATTCCAAAGGCACGTACAGAAACAAAGGGAAGCCACAATCAGAGTGCCTGCTGGCAGCATCCTGTTCCCAGCCCCAGCAGGTCCCAGCCCCAGCAGTGGATGTAAAATAAACAGCCGTCCCTATCCGTGCTCTGTGTTCCTGTCACAGCCTCTGGGAGCACTTGCACTCCAATTAATGAACTATTCAACTTGCCCTTCTGGCTTTGCCTTATCTAAGCAATACCCCAACCCAAACAGTCAGAAACCTTCGTAGCAAACAGCAGCGCTGGCTGCTGGCAGGCTGTGCGAGGAAACCCCACCCCACGCAAGGAAAAGGTTTGTGTACGGCATTTGCTGAGACACGTTTCTCCAGCAGAAACTCACTGCTGTCAGCAGCATGAGGCTGCCTTAATGCCTGTGTCTTCCTGGTGGGGCTGTGCCCAGGTAGAAACAGTTGAGGGTTTTTTCCTGTTCGTTTTTTGTTTGTTTTGCCTTTGGGGATGCAAGAAGGGAATGGGATTTTTGTGCTAATATCCCATAAACCCAGGAAGGCACGTTGTAGGAGCAATGAAGTAAGGCCTGAGTTTTGTGCCAAATGACATGTTAAGTCTCAGGATGTCTCACATGGGCCCATCGTTCCTGCTTCGGTGCCCCTGTCCTGTTGACTAGCATGTGCCTTTTTATTGGGAACGGTAGGTGGTGAGGTAGAAGTCAGTAGTTTGGTTGCCAGCATGTGGAAAGTTCTCTCCTCTGCCGAGGGCATCCATCCTCCTTGCTGTCCCTTTTTGTGAACAGCATTTGTGAGCAGCTGCAGTTCTCTCTGTCCTGTTTGCCTAGAGGAAGAGCAGCCTCACACAGGTCTGACCCCTGGCTGCTCTTTCCTCCTGCAGACTCTCCCTGCTTTCCCACTCATTCTTCTATCTCAGTCCCACAGAGGAAGGCACCTTTCTGCACTCTCACACCGCTGCCAATGCCCTTCTCCAGCTGCTGGCTGCTCTCGTCACGCTGGGGCTGCCTTGCAAGTGCCCCAAGGAGATGTTTTCGTGTAGCTCTTCCATTCTACCATCCCTGGATTTTAACACTTGTCTTTTTTCCTCCGTTTCCACCACAGGGACATCCTGAAAAGCGGAGGCACAGCTGTGGATGCTGCCATTGCTGCCTTGATCTGCACATCAGTGATGAACCCTCAGAGTTCGGGCCTGGGTGGTGGGGTCATATTTACCATCTACAATGCCAGCACAGGTATGGGCCAGCTCTGGCCTCTCCATGGTGCCCGGTCTCCCTGCAGACATCCAGCTGCCATGGAGAAGTCAGAATCCTTCATGTTCTCTCAGAGCAATTTTTTGAACACATTGCTGCATCTTCCAATCATGAACCCCGTTTTTGCTCTTAACCCAAAGTCTCTGTTACAGGGAGTGCATCTTTTCACAGCAAGAATATGGGGGGGACCACGGGGACAGAAGGAGCTTTGGATTTAAAATGAACTGACTTTGCCTCTCCTTCCCCCTCCAAAGTAATCCCAAATTAGGTCTCAAGGTCACACAGCCGACCGTGCAGCGGGGTGTGAGCGGTGCTGTCTGAGCTGCCGTGGGGCTGCCGTGGGGGCAGGCGGGGGCGAAGTGACGTGCCTGTGCTGCCAACGAGCGCAGCAGTATGGGGCTGTCGCTGGCTCAGCTGAGCCCTTGGGCTGGCGCTTCAGGGGTTATTCCTGCGTCAGCAGCCCAGGCAGCACCCGCCGACATGGCGGCTGCATCTCACACTGCCCTCGCTGCCGTGGGTACGAGTCCCCAAAGCAGGAGATGCATCTTCTCTTTGAAATCTAAATCTAGCGGCTTTCAGGGCCTACTGGGAAGACCTTCTGTGTTTGATTTAACTCCTAGTGTTGTGTTCCTGCTTTTATACTATTATTGTTGGATTTGGGTTTTTTTTAACTGCCTTGGCTCCCAAAAGCCCCCAGAGCCTGTAAATCTAAATAGTAAAATCAACAATGAACACAATAACAATATTATAGTTTTAAAAACCCTGCCAAGTAGTCTCACAGAGTCACAAGTCTGGAAATGCTTGGGTGTATCTTATGCAATAGCATAATTTGGCAAAACACCTATATTTTTCTTTTTTTCCCTCTTGGCAGAGCCCTGTGACTTTGTCTCCTATCGACAGTCCTCTTCTGCTACCTGAATCATCCTGCTGCACAGAGCTGCGCGTAGCCGCGCGCGGCTCCGGTGCCTGGTGCACCAGGGAGCACGGTGGGCTCCTGCAGCACGGCCAGCTCTGTGGACTGCGGCAGTCAGATAAATGCAAGGCAGAGAAGGAGGCAAAATAATAGGCTAGACCTGAAATATGAGTGTATACAAGTGGGTTTTTGTTCGGTTTTTTCCTTTCAAGCTTCCTGATACACAGAGGGTCTTTCATTGCCACCGTCCTGCATACAAACAGGATGGATGTGCCTCACCATCACCTGGAAAATGGCCCACCAGGGAGTCTGAGGCTCGTGTTAGGTCTCTGACATGTCCCACCTGTAGAGGAAGTGCAGAAACCTGCACATCAGATGTGAAGCAGCATGTCCCAACCCACATCCCAGGCTCAGGAGCCCTGGTGCGGGGACCTTAATTGGCTGGAGACAGGCCCAGGCCTTGCCCCTGTGCCTTCATGGCCTCTAGGTACACAGCACTCGGCTTGCTCTTAAACAAAAGCACGGGAGAAAACAACAGTGTGTGCCGACGGCAGCCTGACCCTGCAAGCGCGTGTGGCAAAGGTTCAGGGCAGTTGAGCACAGTGCCACGGGCTCTGGGCCAGCAGCCTCTGCGGTGCAGGCAGCTGGCTGAAGTGTGACGGTCACCTCCTTCGGGAAGTCAATGCTATGTACTGTCACCTTCTCCCTTCTAGGAACCGTCGAGGTGATCAACGCCCGTGAGACAGTCCCGCGAGTGTTTCTGCCCAACTTGTTGTCTGCCTGCGGGGCTGGTTTCCCCATCGGTAAGTTTACAGACTGGGCCATGAGGGCTGTGTGCCCTCCTGGCATGCAGTGCACAAAGCTCAGGGTGGGCAGCGGAGGGCCGTGCTGCCTTTGTCGGAAGTTCTACTTAATTGCTCCTGCTCTTCCTGGATTGGTTTTTGCAAAAGTAATTAAAAATACTAGGTGTGTAGAATTCCTGTTTCGTGGCAGCCTGACCAGCAAGGGGGTGTAGAGCAGAGAACGAGGAGAAATCATGACGTAATTTCTCTTCATAGGAAGTCTGCATTTCAAGCCCAGATTTCCCAAAGCACTCATTGCCCAGCAGTTCTTACAGAGAGAAATTAGTCAGTGGCTGCTCAGACTTTCTAGAAATGAGAGAAATCAACCTAGTGCGCTTGCCCATGTCCTTACTTTGGGAAAGCAGCCTGGCAGCACCAGGAGTTGAGTCGCTGGGCTCCAGCTAAGCCCAGCTACCACCCTGGTCCCATCCAAGGAGGCTCCATGTCCACTTGCTGTTACTGCTTTGGCAAGAGACGCTCTCGCTTTAGCAGCACATCTTGGGTCTCTCCGCATTCTCGCTGCATTCATTCTCCTTCCCTAGCACATCTTCTTTTGGGGTGCGTCCTAGTTCCTGGCGGAGATGTTCTTATCCTTGGAAGAGCCTGAAAAGGAGTCAGGAATAACTGTAGTTGGAAGGGATAGTTGGAGATCTCTGCTCCAACTCCTGCTCAAAGCAGAGTGATGTCAGGGTTAGCTCAGGCTGCTTGGGCCTTTGTCCCATCACATATTTTATCTTCCCCAAGGACAGAGTTTCACAGCTTCCCTTGTTGTCATGTTTGCCCAGGCTTGGCGTGACTGTTTTTCTCTTATGTCCAGCTGCCACCTCCCTTGCTGTAACACGTGCCTCTTCCCTCTTTTGCTGTCACCGTGCACCCCTGAGCCGGGCTCCAGCTCCTCTACACCCCTCCATTAGGTAGTGGGAAAAGTATATGAAAGAAAAAGGAGAGAAAGAACCCAAGGCTGCGTGAGGAGCTTTAGGCCTGTACAAATCCACCTCTCCACTGGAGTGCTTTCAGAGGCAGAACCCACAGGTCAGTGACTGGGTGTGACACTGCCGTTCTGCTCCTCAGGTTCCCACTGGATTGCTGTGCCGGGAGAACTGCGTGGGTATGAAGAAGCCCATAAGCGACACGGCCGCCTGCCATGGAAAGCCCTGTTTGAACCAACCATCAAGCTCCTTTCACAGCCACTTGTCATTTCCCCGGTTATGGACAAAATTATGCATCACCCAAACTTCTCCACTCCAGGAAAATTCCTGTGGTAAGACCCAGGAATTAAAGTGCAGTGTGAGGCCCACTGTTCCCTCAGCTTCAGAGCCGTCCTCAGCGAGCTGACATGGAGCGCAGGCTGCTGCAGCTTCTGCTCAGTAAACCCTTGCTTGGAGAGGGAGGGAATAACTGAAGTGTTTTGCTTAAAGGTTTTTTTTCTGTCAGCAACTTTTTTTTTTTTTGTGATTTAGAGTGGCTTGGCGTGGGAAAACTGTCTGCTAAGCAAATCTGCTCATGAGGAGGAGCTGGCTGGATGTGGCCTGTCTCCATCTGTGTGGCAACTGTCCCCCTAGAGCAGACACTCGTTTGGAGAAGCCCCGCTGACCTCAGCCAGGGTCAAGGCGTTAGGTCCTGTGGAGCCAACTTTGTCTGGGGAAGGAGAGCCTGAGAAGACTTTCCCCCGTGCAATCTGCACTGGCTTGGAAAGTGTACAGCAGGCATCAACCAAAGTGGCTTTGGGGAGGAAGAAGAGATTGGCCCCGGGGACAGAGCAAGCGCGTGCTGTAAACTGATGGGTGTTCTTCTTTAACAGCCCGCTGATATGTGACGGTGAAAGGTTCCTGAAGCACGGAGAGGCCTTCATGTGGCCGGCGCTGCAGCGAACGCTGAAAGCGGTAGCGGAAAACGGAGCTACAGCATTTTATGAGGGACAGATAGGAAAGGCCCTGGTGGAGGACATCAGGAAGGCTGGTAGGTAACAGCTGTAGTTAACAGTAACAGACAAACCTTTCCCAGACACTGGCTAACAGTGGGTTGGTACCAGGGAAAGCCAACACATGCCATTCGCTTGTGCTGAGGTGCTGCCTGGCATGGGAAGGGGGCACCTTTCCCCAATTCTCATAGCTCAGGCCCGGAAGCAGGGCTGAGAGCTACCTACCGCTCCGGCATTCACCCAGTGCTCACACACTGGCCTCTCCAGCTCCCCTAGGCTGTGTGATGTCCTGGGGCTTGGCATGAGGACACATGGAGACATTGCTGTGCGTGGTGGAAGAAATTTGGATTATACAGGGATGGCTCTTTACAAGCTTCCCCAAGGCTCTGATGTCGCCAGCCCGTAGCACGCAGTAGAAGTTAGTGTGCTAATTCCAGCTACCCGTCTGGTTTTCTCTTGAAGGGTCCACTATCTCACTGGAGGACCTCCAGGCATACAAAGCAGAGGTGTCCTCAGCTCTGAACGTTACCCTCAACAATCACACCACAGTGTTTTCTCCTGGACCGCCCATGGGAGGTGCTGTGCTCTTGTTCATCCTCAAGATATTGGAAGGTAAATTCCTAAGGGAAAAGGGGCAGCAAGAGGTTTGCGAAGAGTGTTGCTGTAGAGCAGTAAAATGTAATGGGTGGAAATGGGGTTGGCAAACCAGAATGGGCCCCAAAGCAGCAGTGTCACTGTGCTATGCAGCAGGATGATGAACTGGCTCATTCCTACAGTGTCAGTATCACCATAGCTGCTGCGAAGGCCAAACGATTTTCCCAAGGCTTCAAGAGGAATTAAGTCACAGTGGAATTAGTACTTGGTTGTTGCTGTGCCCACACCCTGCTAAAGCACAGGGGAAGCTTGATAAGAACTGGGATGGGAAAAGGAGGTTTTTTCAACCTCTTTTTTAAACAATTCTTGAAAAAGCATCTCTGTAGATCCATTAACAAAATTATTTCATCCTGTGCCACAGAGTATAAACTCCGTGAAGCATCACTGATGACTCCTGACGAGAAGGTAGAAGCCTACCATCGCATTGCAGAGGCCCTGAAGTTTGGCAATATGCTGAAATCCCGTATGAGTGACCCAGCCTTCTCCGAAGCCCAGGTGAGCTGGCATGGTGCACAGGGGCAGCCACAGACACATGCAGCTCTGGCAGCTTCTTCTACACTGCTGCTTCACAGATAGGGTTTGTTTAAACCTTCATTGCCACCGACTCGCTTTAGCCTACGTGCTAAGCCCTCAAGCAGGCTACCTACCCCTCTGCTATCCTGCCTGCCAGCACAATGCTACAAGGCCAAGTGATGCTCTGACACCCTCCTGCTTTTCAGACACAGAGGGAAAAAAGATACTTAGAACTGCTAGTCAAGAGCAGTGCTGCTCAGCGGGCCAGCCAGAGGCAGGATTAGGCCATTTACTTTGCTTGCAGTCTCTGCTCAGCCGTAGGCCAGCGCTCTCTTGCCTGATAAAGGGTGTGCACCTGCTCCTGACTGTGCTGAAGCGCCTTGACACTGAGCTTGTTTCATTTTCTGTGATGAGAGTGGCCTGGGGACCCAGTCTGGGTCTGAATGCTGCCAACGCAGGTCCCCGGGCTCTGACTACTGGGGCAGAATCCCCCAGACTTCGGTGTGCCCAAAGTAAGTCCTGCCTGTGCTTTGGGGACACAAGCTCAGTGCCCTTGCTGTGATTGCAGGTGACTGTGGAGACCATGCTGTCTGACAAGATTGCTGAACTTGTCAGGCACCGAATAGATACCCGTGGAGACCACCCACTCAACCACTACAACTTGCTGGAGTCCATCTACAGCCACAGATACAAAAGCAAGGGCACAAGCCACATCTCGGTGCTCGCTGCAGATGGCAGTGCTGTGTCCGCCACCAGCACCATCAACTACCCGTGAGTAGCCGAGGGGTCGGTGGTGGCGCCTCACAGGGCATGTATGGGGTTCACAAAGTCCCTGCAAGGGCTGCTTACTAGAAATGCAAACCCCCGGGGCTTCATGGATTTAGGCAGTCCCTTACTCGTGAATGCCTTTTTCATGTGACAGCAAAGGTCTTTGAGCAGCAGCCCAAAGGGACACCACAGTTCACACAGATGTAACAACCTGCTGAGCTCCGCTGAGTTTCTGCGGGTTGGGCAAATCCCCACATCCACTAGTACCAGGGAGCTTATCCCTGGCTCCAGCACAAGCACCTTTTGGACAGCCTCTCTGGGGCAGCTGCAGGCTGGGAGGAGGTGGAGGTAGCCCACAGGGTGCCACGCTCAGTCAGTGCTCTGCAGAGCAGCACTGAAAGGCTACTTCTTCCCCCCCTCCCAGGTTCGGCTCCTTTGTGTATTCTAACCAAACTGGGATCATCTTAAATAACGAACTCGCTGATTTCTGCATCGCAAACAGGAGCATTACAGCAGGTGAGCATTCTCCTCCTCGGAATAGAACACAGGGCTGAGAGGTGGATGAGCAGGCTGTGTGCTGGGCAGGGACTGTCTGGAAACTGCAGGAACTCCTTCCTTTCCGAGGTCTGGATGAGAGCAAGTTTGGTTTAGACTAACAGAGGATAAAGCCCTGTAGCGTGTCTGTGTCTACTCACATATGGCCTTACATGGAAACATGGAAGTTCTGGGTTCTGGCCAGGGAAATCTGAGATTAAAAAAGAAAACCGAACAAAAAAACTGAAGCTGATTGATAGGGAGGGAAGGAGTGAAGAAACTACTGCTAAGGCAAGCTTGCTGGCTTTTTAGGCCCCTCTGTGAAAAAGCCTGATCTGTAATGCTGGAGGCTTACGCTGAGCTCGGTAACACAGCAGTGTTGCTGCAGAGCCACGGCTCTGTGAAAACCCCAACGCAGTCTCCCTCGGGCCTGCCGAGAGAGGCCGTTCATCCTGCGATGGCAGGAGTGCTGCTCACGTTTCCCTGGCTGGGCTGAATCGGCTGCAGGAAGTCACGAACGTCTGTAGGATGCCCTGCCCCACGGGATGCTTCCCGTTTAGTCTGCGCCATAAAGCTCCAGTGAGATGGGGTCTCAGCACAAGGAAGCCAGTTTTCTGGAAGACTTGAGCTTCTTGAGGAATGAGCAGCAGCTTGGTTTTCCATGGGGAATGCTAGAAGGATGAGGCAGATAAAGTTGTGTGTCCCTCCAACCCCCGTAACAGCCACATGGGAGGAATAATGCTCTCTGCCTCTGCCCTAGGAGAGAAGCCTCCGTCGGCAATGGTGCCTTCCATTCTCATCTCCAAGACAGGAGACACGCTGGTGATCGGAGGAGCAGGCGGGGGCTGGATTATCAGTGCTACTGCTATGGTGAGTGAACAGGTACCGCACAGTGACGCCTGCCACCGAGCCAGGGGAGCACAGGCTGTCCCGAACGAGAGGAATGCATTTACTGCTGCTGGGACTGCTCTGTGGAAGGCAGCAGTGAAGAGGGCTGGCTGCACACTCAGTCTGTCCTCTAGCATTCCTGTGGTGAGTGCCAGCTGCCTCTCTCAATTCTTTTGTGAAAGGGAAGAAGTTTGAATAATCAAATAACAAGTTAAGGAAGTTATTGGGAGGAGAGATATTACCCAAAACCTTGGGGCCCCAAAAATAAACTGATAAGTTACGTGATGGAAAACAGAAGAAAACCAGCACCACACCTATACACGGAGTAACTAATATTAACGAAAAAGAGCTTGCTGAAGCATGGAGTCTATGTCTTGTTCAGCAGCCAAGAAATACAACCAGATAAGGCCACAAGAGGAAAAAGAGGACTTTTTTTCCTTCATCTTTTTTCAGCTGGAAAGAAGCATGGGAAGGAGTCCATGCTAGGACCTGATCTGAAAACAGAACAAGCATCAGTAGAAAGCTGTAAGAGCCATCAGTAGCTACTGAATTCAAGGACACCACTTTGGATCAGGGAAAGCAATCTGGGAAGTATCACTGCGTGCTTCCCCTGCTCTTACACTTGGCCTGAGCAGCTGGTATTGGTCACCATGAAGACAGGAGACGAGGCTAGTAGGATGTCTGCTCTGACTCAGTGCAGCCTCTCTTCCAGTGCAGTGTGCGCCATCCTGCAGGCAGGATGGACAGTGGTGCTGCTCTGGCTTAGCACCTGTGCAGAGGACGGCAGGATGTGACCCAGGTTCTTACTCAGTATTTCTGGCAGTCAGTGTGGGATTTGTTTCTTTGCAGGCGATCATAAACAAGCTGTGGTTTGGCTATGACTTGGAACATGCCATTTCAGCTCCCATCATGCACACTGAAGGTGACAATATCCTGTTTGAGAAACACTTCAGTCAGGTGAGTGCCATCACTTGTCTCCTCTTCTCCTTTTGGTGAGAAGAAGATTGCTTCTGAAACTCTCCTGAATAATCTGTATTTTGCTTCTAGGTAACCTCCTTCTTGCTTAAATCTCACTTTCTCGACCTGACCCCACAGACACATCCTTCATTTTCACACCTGGCCATGGTAAAACCTCAGGCCCCTGCCCCATTCACTCCATTTCCTCTTCTCTCCCCTCTGCAGGAGGTTAGGAGCGGCCTGCTGAAAAGAGGACATAAGGAAAAGGAAGTTACATTGGCAATGAATGTCGTGCAGGGTATTTCCAAGGAAGGAAAATGCATCTCTGCTTACTCTGATAAAAGGAAGCTGGGGAAGTCAGCGGGATATTAGCATGAAATGCCATCCAGCTCACGGAACCACAGCAAATAACTAGATCCAGGACATGCTTTGGCTTGGACATGCCAGTATTGCCTGTTCCCATCAGGATGCCTGCTGGAATATGGGCAAAACTTGTGATTACAGCTAATTCCAGCAGACTGCATGTCACCCTCAGGCAATACCAGGACAGGTCAGCCAGCCTTGTTTAGAGCTACACCCTCCATTACATACATGATGTACAGAAAAACTTATTTCTTGAGTAGATCAGCTTTTCAGAATAAGAAAATACAAAGCTGGAAAACTGGTCCAAAACCCACTGGAAACGCTGTGAAATGACCCAGCTGTATCTTCCGTTCCTGCTGCAGAGTCTCAGTTACGAGTAGAATTGGTTTCTTTCAGGCTGTTGCCACAATACGCTTATTATTAATGGGGCTCAGCAATGTGAATGAAGTAACTGAGTAACTGTTTTGGTTATGAGGATTACAGGAACTGTCTGTAGGGTCAGGATTTTAAAATCTTAATCATCCAGGCTTAGAGGGTGGGTTTGAAAAGGGAAGAGAGCAGAACTCCACACTCCTTGGTTTTCCCACCCAAAGAAGCCCTACTTTTCACAGAGGTGGCAGGTGAAATCAGCACACCGCAGCACAAGTCTGCCGCCCCACCGCTCTGGGCCTTGGGCATGCAAAGCCCCCACAAGCTCCGAGTAACCGCGCCGAAGCTTCCGTCAACCCTGCACGCTAGTGACTTGGAGAATAAACCTCCCATGGGGCGACGTGAACTCTCTGCTCCCGGGATGGACAGGCTTCGGCTCAGCTCCCTGCTGGTACGTCTCCCTGTGGTGAGGGCAGTCCCAGTCCGGGCCAGTTCTCCCTCCTCAATGCTGGTGGAAGATAAGTCATTTGGGAAGGCAGGTGGGGGTTGCAGTGGAAGAGCTGTTGGTTTTGGAAGCTTTCTAACCTTCTTCAAAATGCAAAGGGTGATACATGATCAGAAAGCTTCGTTTGTGGCTCAGTCCGGCCAGGCAAACCCCGGGGCTGCTGAGAAAGCGATGCAGCACTATCAGGCATTAGCAGAATACTTTTCCCCCACTGCCTAAGGACATGCTCCAACTCCCTGTTTCCCACAGCTAGTCTCTAATGTTCCCTTAAGATCACAAGGAGGATATTGTAGGAATCCTTAAGAACTATCACAGTGAAGAGGAGGAAGCACCTGAACTCATGCACCTGGATGCAAAAGGTCTTTTGCAATTACTCCATAACCTTGCTCTGCTCAAAATGGCCAAGGGAATCAAACACTTAAGGGTGGGCGTGGCGGGAAGTGAAACTGAACCAGAGCAAGGCATGAGCAGGGCATTCCCCTTTACCTGTCAGTTCTCACCTCGCACACAGCCGTGGTATTCCTAGTACACAAACAAACAAAACCCCTCTGTAAACACCATTACAAGTATTTGAGCACACAGTTAAACAAGCAAAGCCAACCATGGCCATCCACACACTCGTGCAGACATAGCCAGGTAGGGGTTAAGCCTCTCTTCTTGCCCATGGTCTGCCCAGTAAAGCCATCGACTTGCTGCAATCTCAGCCTTCACTTCCATCTTAATGATGGCCTGAGCGAAGCTGACAAGAGCCAGATGTGTTTTTCTTCAGAAATTGCAGGCCAAGAACTGTAGTATGACTGCAGCTGTACCACAGCTTAATGAAAACGCATTCCTGTTGCCAGCTCATAACCGCAAGCACTTCAGCACGCACCTGGAAGGCAAGCCACTCCTGTACAGAGCCAGCGTCATGCCCTGCCCCTCCTTCCTCGGCCAATCCTCTTACATCCCCCAGTTCTGGAGGGACTGCGGTTTCTCCATCAGAGCTGCCTACTCAAGCCATGGAAGCGGGACAGCAGCCTGTCAGACAGCATTGCGGTACCGCTGCGTGTGGCTAGGCCTGGGCTTTGAGGGGAGGCAGTTTTTATGTTCGGTTGGAAGGGGTTACTTTGGGGTGTTTTGGTGGTCGTGTTCAGTCTACGTTATCTGTTGAAGTTTCCTACTTCCGCTAGCTCCCTCACCTCGGCTACCAGCTCCGGGTGCGCTGGGACTTGTGGCAGCAACACCAGCCCAGCTGCAGCTGTTACAGCGGAAGCGCTTTCGGGCACTAGACACCATCAGCAGCTCACATTTCAGGACCAGACGGACTAACTAGACCAGACGCTGGCTTTAGCAAGACGTGCAGTTATTTCTAGCTAGTCCAACCATGCTTAGAGCTTGCGAAAAGCAACCAGGAATGGCACTGGCTGGAGACAGGGAGAGCAGTTCTTGCTTCCCGGTCAGGCTTCAGGCCAGCCTTCAGCATGCCCTGAGCCATGCTGTGTCCTGTCCCGCTCGCAGAAAAAACAAGTCACCAAATAACTAAGCCTCAGATGACTTTCACCTCTGACGTACCTCAGGGTAACGCACACCTCAGCAGTCCAGCCTGTCGCCTTCCCAGTGCAGTACTATCACAGCTACTTCCCACCAGGAAGACGTGGGAATATGATCTGTAGTCCAGCACTCACTGCAGTTTAACTACTCTGCTACTAACGTTGAAACTGAGCCAATTAAGCAGTTTTAAAACCCATCACAGCTTTAATTTGCAAGACAGAAAAGGAATGAGAGTGCGGATCTCTCACTGCCGCAGGCACTTCCAGTCCTGCACTCCTCACTAGCAAAGCGTGGTGAGGCTGCGGGACTGCGCCTCCCTTGGCACCTCGGCTCTTGCCCTGCCACCTCCTCGCCGCTGCTGAAATCTGCTTGGGTCAAGAGCCTCCAGTCTGGTCTCTCCCCATTCATGCTCGTGCCAGCAGGAGAGCATTATTTTTCTACTTGTCAACGTACCTGGACTTTAAAAGCATCACTGTACAGAGGCTGCTCTATTTTTTAATGAAGTCTTTAAATTATGTTTTTAATAAAGTGGTTTCAAACCTGTCTGGGAATTTCTCCTCTATGCCTGACACACAGGTGGCTGTTTGAGAGAGGATTTTCACATGGGTGTTTCCAGCAGTGACAGTTCCTCATTCTGGAGACTCAAAGTGCCACTGGAGAAACTGAACGGCGCAGAAGCCTGCAGATGCCACTTGCCTCTCACAGCGAAACCTCTCTCGGGTCTGCCACTTCCCTGCAGCTCTTCAAGAGGCTGGATGGTTGCCAAAAGAGAATTGTGCTAAGGTTAGCCTGAAGAACAGGGCCAAGAGGTGACCCCCCAGCCCCTGATCCGTGCTGCCTTTTAACGGGACGGCTCCCGTCCCAGTCAGCCTGGATGGGTCGTGGCAACACGTCCTGTTCCCACACCCCGCACCGTGTCGGCCAGCTTGCACTCAGACGCCATGTCTCTGCTCAGAAGCGGAGGGGAGGCGGTGGCATTCGAAGGGTGGGACATGAGCAGGAAGAATCTTGTGGCTAAAACGTTCCGACAAGCTGAATGGCCGGTCGGGAGGTTTTGCAGGATGAGCCACCGAGAGCAGACAGCCTCGACGCAGCCGGAGGAGCGGGACGTGGAATCAGAGCAGGTGGCAGAAGCGCACACCCTATGTACCGCTGTGTCCAAATGAGATGTAGATGATCACAGCATGCAGAAGTAGCCACAGGTGGGGTTTTTTTTAATTGTAGGTTGTAAGTGCAAGCCTTAGCTCAGTTCAGTATTAACAAACCAGCTGACACTGCCAAAACAATCAATTCCTGCAGAGACCCAAGAATGCAAATGCATTTATAAGCACAGTTTTCAGAGAAATGGTTTTAGCCATGGCAAAATCTGAGCTTTCCACAAGGGAAGTTGTGCACCAGAGGTTATAAATAATAGGGGAGGTTTCTGATAAGGTCCAAGAAATTCAGGAACAAGAAAGACTGCTGTGCCCGAACTGTTAGAAACAGCCCAGCAGCAGTTACTCAAACTTGTTTCAGAAAGCACTGTTCAGTCCTTTCCCAGAAAACATCCACCTTCCAGTTTCAGAGCACAAGCTTTCGGTGTTGCAGCTCAGACTAACCCCAGCGACTGGAAGGTTTCAAGAAGCTCATCTCGCTGTGCAATGATTTCATTTCTCAGAGCACACTTGGCCAAGAAAAGAGTTCGGCTAGTCCCAAGCAGCTGATGCTGGTCCATACAAACTCATATCAAAGCTTCCCAAAATAGCCAGCAAACTGGATTTAAACAGCAGCCTGCCTGAGCGGCACCCACTGTGGAATTACGAGGAGCAAAGTCTCACTTCAGTGATACAAGGGTAGAGGCTTGGCCCCCGACGAACCTCATCCTCAAAGGAGCACGATGAGTCTGGGCCATTGACAGTCACTGCCTCAGCTGCACCTCGCGCAGCACCGTCAGCAGCAAGCGCCAAGGGGGAAGGCGCACCGCGCGCACCCCAGGCAGCTTTTGGGAAAAGCCACCCGTTCAGTGGGAGTGATCTAAGCACATAGACATCTGCCAAAGCTGTGACCGATTTAAGCATGATCTAGCTATCATTTTATTCCACAAAACCAGACTCACTTCCCGAAACTATGGGGAAGGAGCGGGTGCCTGATGCCTAAAGGCTCAGCCTTTCATTTTCACTTCAGTGCGTTCTCTGTTTTGAGGTCCTTACAAATTGACAGGAAGTTTCAACAAGCTGCTGATCAGTTGCTGTTACTTGTGTTTCAAGGATTTCATACACATCCCTAGAGCTTGACAACACCCTGCAACATTCGGTTTTGACCTTAGGCTAAGTTTATCTGATGTATCAGAATGTGCCAGTTGGGACAGTTAAACCACACACAGCCCGTGCCGGTGGGTGAGCACCAACCCCACCGTGCAGGGACACAGACACTCTTAGCTGTTCCGTGTCAGGTACGGGTGTCTGAGAGGTCATTAACTGTCTGGTTAATGGTAACTTACCTTCAAACAGGAGTAGCTGCGGCGTGCCTTTTTTTGAAAGTTTCATTTCCTCAGACTCTGGTATTTCAGGCCTGCAATAGCATGCGGCAAAAAGCAAACTGGAGAAAAATAAGATTGTTTTGGAGTTAACTTTTTTTTTTTAACTCATAGCTTCATCAAAGGTGTGAAGACAAGAGAAAAATCTCAGGAGAGTGTCTCCCATGCAGACTCCCACCATCCCTTTTCTCCGTAGCAACTGTGCAGGCAAGAGAAACGTGTGACTCCGTATTTATTTATTTTAGTTGTGCTCAGAGTTTTACAGGTAGCATCTTCCCTTTAGACCTTCTCAACAGAAATATAAAAAAGTTTGAAGCCATTTCCCCATACAGCCACTCATCTCCCATAACCAACGGAAGTGAAAAGCAGAAACATCTTCTGTTAAAAGAAAGAATAGTGAGTTTGTGAAGGCTTATCCCAGGCTAGAGCTGGGCTTCCTGCTATGGAACAGATCTATTAGCTTGTAACTTAGAAAACCCAGTCCCCAGAGTCCTGTAACTCCCATCTACCCAACAGGAAACAAATCTCTTCTCTAGCAATGACAGGGACATGTCCGGTAGCTGACGCTGTGCAGGGGAAACACTTCCTGCAGCTTGAGTGACCTGGACCTTCTTCAGAAACTCTGGGTACCCAATCTGTCTTCATGGGATGGAGAGGAGGCAGGGAACAAACTCTTCAAGGCAAAACAGACTCTTCAAGTAAGAACTGCACATCCTGGTAGACATGCCTGTCTCGGCAGACTGCTGTGGCATGAGGCACTTCGGTCATGGCTGTAAAAAACTGCCCCAGCTCTGGCAACAGAACCACAGGTGAATTTGTTCTCTGTCCTGTGAGAAGTCCCTGAGTTGCAGACCTAAAGGATCTTCCCCCCAAACACACCTCAGTGTCACTAGACCACTGAAAAAAGGAGCCGAGCCACGTCAGTAGCCTGCAGGGAAGCCACCTTTCCGGGAATCGGAAGCTGCAGCCCATCCTTCATCTGTTCTGAGAATGGCCTGCACAACCGCGCCGCCGCTCACCCGCGTGGTATCGTGCTTTCTCTTCTTTAGTTGTTCTTCTATACCCTGGAACGCAGAAGTGAGTGAGGACAACCGAGAGAGAAAACGGCACACGAGCAACAGGGCGCAACCTGCACCCCCCGTGACAACCCAAGCGTTCAGTGCCTGTCTTAGGTCTAAAGCTACACGCTGTTCCTCCCCTTCCCTTCCCTTTCTGGGCTGCCCTGCTTGTAAAGAGCTGGAATGGAGAAGATGTGGCATCTGTGGTGCTCAGTGTGGGCTACCAATACTGGACAGTACCTGGTCACACAGCATTCTGCTTCAGATAGTCATACCCCAACAGCCCGAACTGATGGGTCCTGTTTGGGAATGGGGGAAACACAGACCTTGTAGAGAGCAGGGCATCCTCCCAGTGCTGGAAGGTATCTCGGCTGTTACCTTAAGAAGCAGCTTATTAAAGGAGGACCTTCTACACAGTTTGATGAAGAAAACTGCCGTATGCAGGAGTGTTTTCCCTAATACAGAGATACGGGATGATATGTGCAAAGACTGCGTCTGTCTCGAGCCTCTGGGATGTGTAACCCTCAGGGTGATGAAGCTGCCAGCTCAGGCGGGTGGTACACAGAGCAAGGCAGAGCTTGCCATCAGCTCTCACCCTGACAGTGCTGCTCAGAGACCTTGACAGGGAAAACATTTTCAAGCTTGTTCTCGGGCCCCTCTGTGCACCCTCCCTCACTAGCTCTGTGCCAGTGCCTCAGGATTCATGAGGAGGTTGCACAACAGGACTGGAGTCCCCTGGGGGCCACTGGATTTAAACTGCTGATGTTGTTTGCTATTTTGCAAATCCTTTGAGCCAAACAACACTGCAAGAAGATACATACCCTCAGTTTCAGATGTGGGTCACACTTGAATCCAGTAGGTTTCAAACATGTGGCTGAGGTACACTTTGAACAGCTCATTGTTACCCAGAACTCGACCTGTGCCAGCTTTCACACTGCTCCCCTAGCAACGTTTCACAAAGCTCCGTGTTTTTCCGCAAGTACACGCCTTCCCAACACGAGGGACCCAGCACCGTACCAGAAGTTCACGCACACCCCAGACGCCGCGTAGACAAACCTCCTCTATTTGCTGCTCAAGCTCCGTGATATTGGGAAACAGCTGATCGTGAATTCTGGGTTCTTCCACTGCTTTCTTCACATCATAACCAAACCAGATGGAATTGATGATCGTCTGTGAAAAGCAAAAAGCCTTAACGTCAGTGACTTGCCTTCAAAACATTGCAGCAAGTCAACTTGTATATGCTTAGGATTCCCACACAGAGACCATGAGTTCCCAAAATTAACACGGTAAAAGGATCAGCCCCTCATGCTATTGTAACTGGATTTATGCTGCTACGATTAAGGTAGTGCTGGCTTAGACACACAGCACCTCAGCAAACACGGAGCTACAGCTCCCTGCTACTGTGCAACTGCTTTCCTTACACCTGGCTCATCCCTACATCCTTAAATTGCAGGTTGGAGCTGCTGGCGAGTGAAAATAGCTGCCGGATCAAGGGCTTAGAAATCTGCTTGCAGCGGTTTTTATGGAGACTTCTCCTCTAGCTCAGCCAGAAAGCCAGATCCAGCCTGGCGCTCCACGAGCTGGCGCTGGGGACAGCTTTCTCCTGCAGTCACTTTTGGGCTAGCTGGGCATTTGAGTGGCTGCCACAGCAGCTCACAGAGAGCCTGCTCACAGGTGGCTGGACACTTAGCTTCTCTGTGTGACTGTCAGCCAAAGTTTAGGATGTTGGACGGGAATGGCTTTAAACTAAAGAGACTAGTTCGTGGAGATCCAGAGAACAGAAGTCAAAGCTAAACTAAGTCACAAATCTGCCACAAGTGGTAAGAACAACTTGCCAGAGGCAAAGACCTGGAGCCACTGAAGGAAGTAATTTCATAGCAGACGCTTTAGCTCTGGCAGGAGTTGGCGTTGGAGGTCTGGCCCGCCGAAGGCCAGGCAGGAACCTCCCTTTCAGGCCCCCAGCCCCCAGCAGGGAGCCACAGCCGTGGTCACATCACAGGTGGAGCCTTGAGCCCCCTAACCCAAGTGCTGCCTCTCCCCCACCTTTCTTTGCCTCAGCCTTGTCCCCAGTTTGCCCCGATCACCACATACCAGTGCTGTTGCTGTAGTTATTTTTGTTCCTCCAGATGCACCAACCACCATCCTGACCTTTCTTGTTTTATCCACCAAGATGGAGGGGCACATAGAGGACATGGGCTGTTTACCTGTTGGGGGGACACACGCAACAGAGGCTCAGCTTTCCACCTGCAGTTTACAAACTGCCAGCTCCTGCTCCATGTCTAAACCCAGAGCCTCAGTATCCACCTTCCTGACTCAGCTCACGTGTCTTGTTCAGCCCCTGGGGATGCCAGTACCCCCTGTACCCACCCCTTCTTGCTCCTGCTACGCACAGCTTAACCCTGGTCCTTCACGCAAAGGCTGAAGGTGCCTTCATCCACAGTCCTGTCCCAGCTGGGGCTGTCTGTGATGCAGCTGCCTCTGGTACACCATGGGACTTCCCTTCCTGCCCTTTCACTTCCCTGTCCCTCTCCAAAGCGTGAGGTACGGGAGGGCAGCAGAAGCCCAGCCTGCCTTAGCAGCAATGAGATGGGTCTGCAGGAGCAGTGGTGGAGCAGGCAGGTTGCTTGGGGTATGTGAACTGGATCTATCCGAAGCTCCCCCACAGCTCCCAAGGCAGCACAGGGAGAAGGCAGGACAGTGCCATCTAACACTCTGCAGTCAACTCCTGCTGCTGCCTCCCCCTTAAATCAGTTCAAAGAAATCTTTTGCAGCCCCAAGTAATTTCATTTGACATGTACTGAGCTCCCTGGGACAGGATTTCTGCTTGCTGGAAGGAGGCATACACCAGAGTTTTTCCTTAGGCAGCCCCTCCTCCTCCAGGGTGCACCAGGGGCAGCTGGCTGTGTGCTTTTGGCAGGGATGCCGGGTGACTTCACCCCTGTCCTCTGCAGAGAGCCCCAGATCTGTGCCGGACCGCAGACACGCTGCATCCTATCTTACAGACAGCACGCCGTGAGTGTGCAAGATGGAGCCGAAAGACCGAGTCAGGAAGGTTGTTTACAGCTACCTGGTGCTATGAAATTTGCTGGAGAAGGAGGGATCCCAAATCCATTGATTATGTAAGGTGAGCTGAAGTCGTCCATCTCATCATTAAATATGATTCCACTCATGTTGGATCGTACATCAGAGCCAAAGCTAGAGAAAACAAGTTGGCACAGACATGTCAAAACCAGAGCAAATCCAGGAGAAGCTTCAGGTGAATTACTGCAGCGTGAAACTCTCCACTCCCTCCTGTTGTAAAGGACATTCTGACACTCCCTGGGGGAAGGAAGCAGTTTATACCGTGAGTACACAGCTACACAAAGTGGAAAGGCAGCCCAGAGCCCTTCTGTATAGCTCTCCTGCAAGGACCCCAAGGGGAAAACCAGCACAGCAGCTCAGTACAACTCATTCTCCGTCCAGCTGGGCAGTTCTGCACTGCATTCAGAGGCAGCATAGCTCCAAGGCTGGCACGTTTGGGGATGGCAGGGGTTTTGCTTAGGTGTGTCCAGCTGGAGGTATCTTCTATGGACAAAAAGAACCTCTACACCAGCTTCCGGCCATAGTCGTGGAACATAGCTCTTCCTGACAGCACTCAAAGCCAAACACTGCACTTCCAGGCCAGCTGTATTAGCTCAAATTCCTTCCAGATGCCTGGGAAGCCAGAGCTGGCAGCAATACCACTGCTTACGATAAGATCCAGATGCAGTGAGTGTTTTCTTGGTGGGTGAACCCAACACAAGAGAGGACACATCTTGTCCTCTGACCCAACACCACAGGCCTCAGTATTAAGAACTGACCTGCAAGCTCAGCAGAAGTGCCCATCAGCAGTGCTACCCACCACTACCCCGCTAGAGAGATGACAGTTCAGCGATGTCTTACACCAACCACAGAACCACCACTAGGAAGACGGCAAAGGCCTACGTGGAAGTAATGTCTGAGCTCATACTATTGGTTGATGGTGCTGGTGGCGGACACAGCACTGCCATCATCAGCCACAATGGAGAGGTGGGATGTACCGGCATTATCTCCAGTGTAATATACTGGCTCATAGTAGTCAACTGGATGGGAGGTGTTGTCCGTGATTTTCCTCCGGAGGCTATCCGCAAAGAACTCAGACGTCATGTTTCTGATCGCCTGTCAGAGAAATCCAATGCAGTTACTCAGCAGAATAAGAGACACGTAGTTATGAGGCTGATATCCAACACTTCAGGCCACAGAAGAGTGGCAAATCCCAGCAGTGAGGCTATAGTTTTCCAGCAGGGACTTTCCTCCTTCTTGAAAGATGGACATTGTACCAAAGAGCACTTTAAGCAGTCACAGAAGCAGCTGTTACAATGCACCCCTTTGTGATGGAAGTTAACCAGCATCCAGTACTGGAGATCAATGGAAAGCTGTCCTCAACACCGCTGTAAGGTGTAGGCCAGCAGTGTTAACACGTGCTTCCGAGAGGAGAGGGGGCGGGTTGAGAGGACTAGACCAAGGCAAGCTCTCGTCCTTGCTCTGTAAGTTCCATCAAGCTGGGCTGGGCTCAGGTCCTGCTGCTTTTGGAGAATCACAGAAGTAAAAGCTCAAAGAGTGAGGTTGGGAAAAGCAGGGTCCCTGCCTCGCCCCGTCCCATCCGTTGGTCCATTTACTACAGGCAGGACTGTGGTTAGAGAGCCACAAGGATGCTGGAAAGGTCATCTAGTGAATAAGGCTTCAAACAATATGAAACCAGGGAGGGTTAGCCCTAAATATACTCAAACCCTCCTGGTGAATTGCTTTTCCTTACAACAGGAAGGTTTCCTCCACTTACATCCCTCACAGCTCAGCCGTGAGTCACACGGGACTTCACGTTTTGATTCAGAGACATTTCAGTGCCCGTCAATAGCAGTGGGTACAGAGCACCCCTGACAAAGTTTAGTCACCCAAAAACATTAAGCCGTGTTCCAGTCAACCTTGGTGATGCAGAAAGAAAAGGCTTTTGCCGGGTACCTCTGTAATGTTGACAAATTTTGGATCTCCCAGTAAAGTCCTCTTGGCGTAGGCAAAGCGAAAGGCCTCCACAATGCGGTGGTAAGTCAGACCTTTCTCCTCTATGGATTTGATGCTGTCAGCAGAGAAATTATACCCTGGCAAAGAAGACAAACGATTGTGAACACAAAGGAAAGTACATGCTCAAGGGATTGCTCATAAACCTGTGTCCAATGGCCGTCTTCAAGGCCAGGCTGGACGGGGCTTGGAGCAACCTGGTCTAGTGGAAGGTGTCCCTGCCCATGGCAGGGGGTGGGACTGGGTGGGCTTTAAGGTCCCTTCCAACCCAAACCATTCTGTGAGTCTATGAAATGGTACAATCCCGAAGCCCAGTCTCTACAGAGATGCAGTCACTGGACTGTCCTCATCTCCACATGGAGAACACAGGAGCTCTGGCAGTTGTGAGCACTGTGGGAGTCATCAGCAGGATTTGTACTTGCAGAGACATTTTCCAAAGAAGCCTCAGGTACAGGTTAGTTTCCACCCATGCAGATACCAGGGAAGTGCCCCGATCAGGAACATATTTTTCGTCTTGCACCTGTCTTTCAAGTAGGAAGGTGACATCCCTGAGTTTACAGCAGAAGAGGAATGTTTCCGCATCTCTGATCCCTCCTGGCGTCTCGGACTTCCCACCTGCTGAAGGGCTATCAGGGGAGGCCCAGACAAAAAAGGCGTTGCCTTTGGAGCTCTCCCGGCTCCTCAGACCTGCAAGGCACTGCTCGGTGGCACTCTCACCTTTCAGGATGTTGAAAATGAGGGCCAGCACTGGGCCACTTAGGGGGGCACTGGGTGTGTAGAGGGTGAACTCCCCAAGCCTGATCTGTATGGGGTCTTCAATCACTGTTGCATTGTAGTCCCGCAAGTCATCCAATGTGACAATGCCCCCTGGAAAAGAGAAGGAAACTATAGATGTGGGTTTATGTGATCTCTGGTGGAAGAGGAGGTAATACTCCATCACCATGCATCACAGCAAGGACAGGAGGGAACCCAGACACACCCCAAAAGTTGCAAGGTGAAGAGAGCAAAGATGGGTGACAGGAGATGAATTTATTCCTTGATAGATGCAGCTGAGGCTCAATAGCCTAAGCGTGAAGTTGGGCTGATTTACAGCAGCCAAAATTGTGGTGATCCATCTTTTTTTACAAAGGACACCAGCAACGTCAGGTATCAAAACGTCCTTAAGAGTCCTGTTTACAGGAGGAGGATGCAGCTTTTGGGTGCAGATGCTTTGTGCTACCCCACGAGCACAATAATTTGCATGTTCCATTGCCTTTCTTATCAGCTGGGGGAAGACGGTAATTAACCGTGACAAACACAGCCAGGTAATGACTTAGGCATGTGAGCTTGAGCGAGGCTGGCCAACGCGAGCTAGTAAGGATAGGATACTACCACCATCTAGTGGCATCCAGAGATTAAACAAGCTCCGCGTTTACAGGACCGTGTATGTACGGTTTTAGGTAGAAACTTGTTGGATTCAGGCTCTGTAAACAGTATCGACTAAGCTACATCCAGAAATGCATAGACTACTAGACTGTACGGTACAGAAATGCACAGTATATACTATCCATTTCTGACTTTCAAATGCATCCATTAAAGCGCTAATGGCTTCTCTTGGGTGTCCTGTTGCCACAGATCCCAGTGACAGCATTTTGGGCAGCAGGCTCGACCCGCTTCCAAGGCTTCTGCAGGTCACCAGCTCCTCCCTGGATGACGAGCTGCAGCCGTCAGGCCACTCATGCTGTTTTGGACAGATGTCCTGTTTCTCACCTACACTGCGGATGTCATCGATGATCTGTTTTGCCAGGCTTCCTGTGTAAAAGGCATCTGCTCCTTCACTGGCTACGGTCTCGTATGTGTTGGCTAGTTTAGGCATCTTGATGATATCGCCCTCATGCAGAATTTTCCCTCCTCTGCAGAACACTTCGCTAACAGAGAAAGGAGATTGAGACGATCAGATCTAAGAGACAATTTCAAAATTACGTGTACCTGCACCAGCTGACACAGCGTTCATGCTAGAAGTTCCGTGGGGAGAAGAGAAACTGCCTGAGCCATGCCCCAGGGGTCCTGATACCTTGCACCGGGACACACAAGTGAACAGTGGTTTCTGGCCTGGGGTTCCGCATTGCTCAGAATGTGCTCAGTGAAGCCTGCAGGAGGAAGTGTTCTTCACCAAGGCAGGCCACCCTCCCGCCCTGCCCAAGGGGCCAACAGCTGCCTCAAGATGCCCAGGAGGGGCCACAGCCCTTGAACTCATGCAGAGCCCTCCGGTCAGAGCACAGACTGTGAAGCTAGGAGGCTCAAAGCTTCCAGTGAAACCAGAACAATGCATTTCGATCCCTGTTTGTCAGAGCACTTGGAGGTAGACAGTTTCCTCTCTAGCTCCCTCATTATGGATCATGACTGTGCTGCTGTGAGTCTGCCAGATGGAAGTACAGGAGACGAGCCCAGGTTGTACATCCCCATCGGATCGGAAACCAACCTGCAGCTAGCAGAGACTTTAGGGAAAAGAGAGGATTAAGCAAGATTTCCAGTAGGGCTGGACATAGACACCAAGAACTTGACTGTAAGAGGAAGTGGAGGAGCATTTAAAACCTCTTGTGTTCATAGTCATTGCCAGAAGTGGATGCTCAGAGGCATTGCTCGAGGAAGGCAGACTACAGATTAAGAGATGACCCAAATTCCCACTGCCTGACAGCAGATAAGATGTTCAAGGAGACTCTGCAATTCCCCCAACTGTGGGTAAGATCAGTTTAGTGCACTTACAGCATGAGGAAAAGCTGGGGATTCAGAAAATACATTGCCATCTGACAGATTTATCCCAGCATGTACTCTAATTCCACCTTTGCTCAGACAAATGGACTTTAAGAGTAGAATTTATCTCCCTTTAAAGGTCAGGACTGAACATTTCTAAAATTGACCACATGATTTAGCACCTTCAGGTGGCTGGAATAACATCAGCAGGTACTGTGAGTACAGTCGCTGGAGGGGAGTCACACTCCCCACAGATGCTACATTACATATACACTGAGACTTTTCAGCTAGGATGCAGTTACCCCAAATTTCTCTGCACAGACCAGCAACTGCTCTACCTACCACAGTGAGGGATTGCTTTCAATTGACTCCTCTCTTGACTTGATGGCTGCTGCAAGGCCTTTCCCAACAGGGAATCCTTCTCTTGCCAACTTGATGCTCGGCAGAAACAGGTCTTTCCATGCCAGTTTGCCATGACGTTTGTGAGCCAGTTCATACCCACGGATTTCACCTGGAACAGCAATGGACCGTCCTCCTGGAGCAGATAAGGAACGTATTAGTCTTCCATGGCAAGAAAATAAAGCAGTTAACAGAGCAGGAGGCAGAGCAGGTCAGCCCTGGCTTTAGGCGGTGATGACGTACGCTATGAGCAGCTCAGCCTATGCAGACGATGCTAACAGAATTGCTCTGTCTGACTTAGGCCCACATAGTCTGGACTGTTGCAACACCTCTGCCATCTTGCTGGTAACTCAAGATTTCAGGCCATTTCCCCTCAGCAGGCTCTGTACCGGAGAAAAGCTGCTCAGAACACAGAAGCTGTGGTAGCTGCCTGCCGTTGCCAACCCTTCAGAGAACACACTACATTAAGACAACCCAGATTCCGCACGTACTCAAGCCAAGAACTGTGTTGCGGCATTGTAACTGCAATTGCAATAGATTGATTACTGCATTGCACAGTGATGCAGCAGTGTGCTTCGATCCTGGTTTTATTGGCATCTTCAAGAAGTTCAACACACCTCTCAAACCCCCTCCAAGGTGATGTACCTCCTTGATTACAGGAATGACCACAAAGAGAACCAGTTAGAATTTCTTCCTATTTTTTGATTAGAAAATACTTCCCCAAAAGGAAGTTACTTCTTCTCTAGAGCCCCTGAGCCATCAGTCGAAGCCACCACAGAAGATATTCAAGAAGGACACTTGAACTGACAAGAACTAAGTCAATCCACAGACATTCATTCGAAGGGGTGGGAAGGAAAGATGGCAGATATGGAACAGGCTATACTCAGTCCTTTGGATTCACCTGCGCTTTCATGAAGTGAAAAGCAGAAGGTGCTGAGGTGACCCATTAGTCTGAAGGACACTATTTTTAGCTTCCTTGTCAGGACAGAGTTTGCAGATTGTGTAAAGTAGATGACATTTCTAGGCAAGGAATCCTGTAGATATGCAAGAACCTAACCATAAGAAATGTTCTTAATTCAGACATGTCAGTAGCAGCTAATGTTGGAGCTATGTGGTCCCCCCAAAGTAGTGAAACAGCTTTTGCCATACCTTTCAGTGAGAGCTGTGTGTTGTTCCCAAACATGTCCTCTGATGCGTTTTTTGGAGCCACCTCTCTGGCATTAATGATTTCCACTTTTCCTTTAACGACAGAGCAAGTAAGATGATGTTTAGCTCTGCACTCAACATGCACGCTCAGTCTCTGCTGAAGAAGTCTGACCAGTGTGAGCCAGTTTCTTGGCAATTATTTTGAGGGCAGCGTGCTCCCCCAGCGTCTGTGAGAGTCAGTCTTTTACCTTCACTCAGGTAGGATAAATCACCTGCTTTAGATAAACAGTTCTCACTGTTCAGCTGTGCGTGGCCCTGTCCCTTACCTGTGCTGCTGTAGATGGTAAAGAAGAGGCCCCCTCCAATGCCCATGCTGTGAGCATTCATGAGTCCTACACAAAGCAGAGCTGCAATCGCAGCATCCACTGCTGATCCACCTTGCTGAAGGATGTCCCTGTGCAGCAGAAGAGAAGGCATCATGGTGACATGTTACAGTGCCTCAGCTACCTGCGAGCAGTGGAGGCATCTTGTCAGAGCAGATATGGCAGATTCTCTAATGCATATTTGTCCGTGCCCAGCCTATAGGTTCCTCAGGAATAGGAAGTTCTTAGAGAACCTTAGAGAACAGAGTCTAGGTGCAGGCCAGATCAGCCCTCATTAATGACACATCCAAACTAGCTTGAAAATACCAAGATGTGTCAAAGTACATGTAGGGATAGGCACTGCAGGCACTCATTACACATGAGAAATAAATAACACCACTCTGAGGAGCCTGAAATCTGCAGCTCTTGCATCTAGAACTGGAGGACAACTTGATAAATGGCTTTTAAGTGGAGCTGAAAAAGCACTGCTCCCGTTGTTCATGTGTCTAGGGATTCTTTGCCTGCTGTGCTGCCTTAAAGCAACGGCAGCGACATTGGTCAGGCATGGTGAAAGCCCAGGTTTTATTATGGCCTCCCCTTTCTACAGGGAGATTATCTGTGCTGGGCAGCTAGGAGGCTCACACCTGGGCATTGGAGGAAACAACAGTTTTGTCTTGCGCAAATAGCTGTCAGAGCTAACGAGAGTCACAGCACAATTAGCGGGTACCTTCCAATTATGGAGCACTGCCCCGCGTCTGTAGCCACAGCCGCTCTCTTATACGTGTGTGTGTCCCCTGAGTCAGGGCGCAGCCCGAAGAAGAGTCCCAGGAACAAGATGAGCCCCAGCAGAGCTGCAGTCAGGACTCCGGCCACCACATAGCGCTTCTTCATCTTCCTGTGGGAAGAGACAGGATCGTCAGCCTCGCTGCTCCTGGGGCACATGATGAGGCACAAGAGCAATGTTTTCCTCTACCTTCTTTCATATCCACTGTTTCCCCCTCTGCCCCCCTGGCAGCTGACAGCTCTGCACGTGGAAGAGCATTTGGGGAAGGAGCGGACAGGGGAGGCATCAGCCCAACACAGGCCTTGACAGGTACATCAGGGTGATGTGCTGCTTTGCAGTGAAGCAGAATATCAAGAGGGGAGGGGATGCCCAGCATGTCCTGCTACCGTTACCTTTCAGCAGGTACAGCACAACCAATTGCTCTTCGTTACTTTACGCGCTGAGGATTTTACAGGCTCAGCAAGCATTTAAGTTATTGCTCTGCCCACAGGGGCCCAGTGTCAGGCTGGATTTCATCCAGTTCCTAAATCCAGCAACAGCAACCAGAGGCTTTTTACCAGACTCCCCCCTCCAACATACACCAGCAGGCCTTTGGCTCCTTTGTGAGTGCCAGAGTCAAGGACAGCATCCTGCCCGCCCCTGGAGGCAGGCTGGCTTTGCCCTCTCTGCCAGTCTCTTCTTCCCGACTCCATAGCCACACGGTGAGTCCATGTATGTGACTTCTCATCGTTCCAGCTCTTGCTTTTTAGCAGGTTTCCATGAGTACTGAGCTGTGGGCAGTGAACAGCTGCCTCCTCCCCTGAATCTCTCACAGGGAGGGTCTCCCAAATACTTCCTCACTCAAATGCATACCAAGACCTTTTCTCTGGGCACTGCTGGTACCATTTCTCTATGCCCCCGCCGCCTCTGTGCGGAACAACCGTTCAAACAACTCCGAAGCTTTTACCAAGTTCCCCTTTTCCCATTACTGCCATCCTATTTGCAGGGCAATCTACTTCAACGAGCATGCCAGGGACTCCTGGAAGGAAGCCCTTTGGTAACAGCTCTGAAGTGTAACGGTACCAGCAACAAAAAGGAGCCAAACCAGCAATTATCACTTGGGTGAGAACCTGAGGTAACCTCATACACCAAAAAAGTAGCAGATTGACAGGCGAGAAGGGAAATCTAAGCAGCAGAACTAAGTGGTGTTAGTCATGACCCATCATATTCAGAGGTTTAACTTGATATCATCTGTTGTTAAATGCCACGGCTGTGAAGCGCCGTCCAGGAGGTTGTCAATGGCCAGTGCAAACAAACAAGCAACCTCGGCCGAGGCTATTTGGCACAGCCCATTGGGAGCACAGCACCCCCTCCTGTTCACAGCCCTTGGCCAGAGCCCCTTTCCAAAGAGCCTGACACCTTTAGAGCACAATGGACAGTCGTCGTGGTTGAGGACCAGCCGGCAACTCAGCACCACACGGCCGTTCACTCACTCCTCCCCCAGTAGGATGGGGAGGAGAAAATAGAAGGAAAGGTTCGTGGGTCAAGGCAAGGACAGGGAAGGGTCACTCACCATTATGGTCATGGGCAAAACGGACTCGGCTTGGGCAAGAAAAATCAATTTAATTAGTTACCGATCAAATCAGCGTAGGATAATGAGAGATAAGACTATATCTTAAACCCTTCCCCCTACCCCGCCCTTCTTCCCGGGCTCAGCTTCACTCCCCATTTCTCTAACTCCTCCCTTTAAGTGGCACAAGGGGATGGGGAATAGGGGTTGTGGTCAGTCCATCACACCACTCCTTCCAGCTCAGGAGAGGATCGTCACTCTCTGCCCCTGCTCCAGCGTGGGGTTCCTCCCACGGGAGACAGTCCTCCACAACTGCTCCCACACGAGCCCTTCCTACAGGGTGCTGTCCTTCAGGAGCAGCCTGCTCACACACGGGCTGCCCATGGGGTCACAGCCTCCCTCAGGCACCCCCTGCTCTGGCGTAGGGTCCTCCCCAGGCTGCAGGAGGTCTCTGCTTCCCTGTGTCCCTCCATGGCTGCAGGGCACAGCCTGCCCCCTCACCACAGGCTGCCGGGGAACCTCTGCTCCAGGCACCTCCTTCCACCTTCTGCACCGACCTGGAGGTCTCCCCAAGTGTCTCGCTCCCATCCCACTCCTCTCCCCACACCAGGTTCCACAGCAGATTTTGTTTCCCCTCTTAAATACGTTATCCCAAAGGCGTTACCACTGTCACTGTCTGGCTCTGCTGTGGCCAGTGGTGGGTCTGGCTTGGAGCTGGGGAATCTTCTCGCAGCTTCTCAGCTGCCCAAACCCCACCACCCAAACCCACACAGCAGTGCTCATGTCTCCGTGTTTCCCAGTCCTGCCCACAGCTGCTCTTGGGGTGCACAGGGTCACAGCTCACCACGAGTGAGCACCAGGACACCAAGGAGCTTCCCAGCAGCCATACTCCAGATATACACCAGGAGGAATCGAGAGCTACCGAAGCGATGGAGAGGCATTGCCACCTTGTTGGGACTGACCGTTCATGACATACAGCTTGAAAAGATACACTTGCACCCATTTCCTTTCCCATTACAGGATTGTTCCAGCAAAAAAGACCCAAATTCATCATATTGCCTTCAGGGACCAACCTCCCCCTGCGCAGTGCAGCTATGGGCTTTCACCGTAACTACTGCACCTGCGCAATCGCCAAGATACTCTTTACCTTACCAAAGCATCTGCCATCCTCAGAGACAAGCCAATCCATGGCATTGAGGGTGAAGAGCGGATCCAGCAACCCCACCCTCCGCGAACGTTCGACAGCCCAAAGGAGAGCGAACTCCAGCAGTCTGAGCAGCGCCTGGTGCCTTGCAGCAGCCGCACATGCAGGATTACGGAGCAGTGAGTGTGCCAGCACTGAGCTAACTAGGGGAAACAGGCCAGGCCAGCCAAACCAAAACTTTTCTCAAAGGGAGGAGATTAGCAAGCACTGCCCCCTCAACCTCACCCCACTCCTGTCATTCCAAGTGAGGAGATACACATTTGCTGTCCAAGCCCTGTAGATGTGAGTCTCAGTCAGAGCACTAAAGATGTCCAAAGCAGCTCAAACCAGGGTGTAAATCTACAGTATGTGCTGTTCTGTAAACAAATGTCAACCGAGGGCAGTAAAAGGTAAATGGATGAAACCTCTTTCCAGGTTCTAGAACTTGATTTACACTCAACTACTTTTAAAAGAGACCCGTGGCGTGTTTGCAGAGCAATGACTGCAGGGAAACAGAGAAGCCATTATGTCCCCAACAATAGCTCACACACAGCCTCAGAGTTTAAAGACAGTTTTGTTTGTTGGCAGAGGGAGTTCAGCCTCAGCACTGGCAGTCTCCTCCAGGCTTCACAAGAAATGCCAGGGGATCTTTTATCTGCGCCCCAGCTAGGCAGAAGGTACTTTGTTCCGTCTGAAGGCTGCTCTATGCGGGGCTGTCCTGCCCCGTAGCTGGTGTATTAACTCCTACGCTCCTGGCTGGGTTGTGCGGCTCTCCGCGATGCCAGCCTCACGGCCAGGCTCCAGTAAAGATTCACTGCCTCGTCAGAGCGCAGGACAGGAGAAGGGAAAACCTTAGATGGCACCTCTGCTCCCATCTTTCACCTCCTCTCTGGATTTAGATGACACTCGTGAGCATCCCAGACCCGTAAAAGCCCCATGCTGAGTGCCCCGCTGCCCGGTGAGTGCACGTCGTACGCCTCAGGCACAGCTCCCGGCCTGCCGCCAGTCCCCAGGGCAAGGATGAGACAGGATACCAGGGGCAGGAACAAGCACAAAGACTGCCGTGAGGAAGACACTGACCGCTGGGCACTGCTCCTACTCTGCACTGTGGTACCACCTTGCCTCTGGGCCGGGCCACTGGGACCCAGCTGGGGCCAGAAAAAGTGAATGCTCTTCATACGAGTGCATCTGTGCAACCTGTCAGATCGATCCTGCTGAGGAAGAAGCAGATGTATGAGCTGAAGTTCTGCAGCCTTCTCTTCCCCAACAGCACAGAGAGCAAGCTCAGCTGAGAATAATCCTTCTCCCTCAACTCAACCCCCGTAAGCTCCTTAACCGATTTCAGGCCTGACCCTAGAGGAAAGCATCCCTTGAACAGTCCTTACTGCCTTCTTAACTGTGGCACAGCAGAGAGCCAAACAGCATTTTGTTTGCTGTACAGCAACCGGGACATGGACCGGAAGCGTGTAGATACCCCTCTCCACGCCTGCCCTGTGCCCTGGGGAGGTGCACTGCAGGAACAGCTGAGCTTTTGCAAAAATGGTCTTTCTGAGGTCAAGACCCCGCTGTTACAGCGGTCCAACAGCCACTCCTAGCCATGGAATTTAAAATGTAGCCTGAATCAGTCTTAATTTATATTGGGAGAGGATGAGGACCAGCAAGTAGCAGAGTTACGCCTGTACAAGCAACCCCGTGGAGCTGCATTCAGGTGTGTCACAAGAGTCACAGCCTTACTGAAACATGGCACCGGTTTGAAGTAAAAGAGCCCCAGTGCAACAGGCTAGCTGGTGTCAGGCAGGGGATACAGGGTCTGACAGCTCTGCCAAGAGAGCCAGGGGAGCTGTCGGGATGAGGAACATGCCATGGACAGGGAAAGTACCAGGAGAACTGAAAGAGGAGAAAGAGGTGATACACCAGCCAGAAAGCAGGGGAGAGGGAAGAGTGGGACACCAGGGGATGACAAAGGAGTCCAGGTATGGTCAGGCACTGCCTGTTCTTGAATGAAGTAGTGCAGAAAGCATCCGCTGACAACGCCTAAAACTTTAACCACACAGGCTTCTGCTTTAAACCCATCTTGCAAGAGCTGCATACCTCAGCACCCTCACCTAAGAGTTCCTTGCACTCCCAGCCCCGTAGCCAATGCTTGGCCATCGGCTTTGAGACATCTGTCCTTGCTTTCCCCAGGCAGAACGCATTATGCAAGGACAGATTTGACATTTTGAATCCTGTCACAGGACACAGGCTATGCTCTTCCAATAACACTCCAAGTCTAATCCATATAAATAACATTGCTATATTTAAATAATTAATGCCAAGCAGTTGAAATCATGTTTTCACACTCTAGAATGTATGTAAAGGGCACAGCCACAGGATTG